TTCAATAATGATGATGATGATGCAGCGTTTTGTGCAAAAATCTCAGACTGATTTCTTAGAAGCTGGGAGTAAATTTTGTTCTTAATCATTTCAAAAGCAGCAGCAATGCTGTCTAAATATTAGACAAAGCTCAACAATAAGACTTATGCAACTTGCATCTACTACTGTCTGAATAACAAGTTACCATTCATATTTTTTTGCTAAATTTATGAGAAATTAGGTCCGACTTTTTCCTTCAAAGTCACAGTTGAGTATTTATTTTAAATGTTGCATTCCCTACGTATAAACAGATAGCATATTCACAAATCCAGCCACCATCTCAGACTCCCATATCACAACACTGTCACCCCTAATTTCTTGAAAATTTGAATCCTAGTTCATGTCCTGAGGAACATCCCCAATGGGTAAGAGAAAGACTTAAAATTAATATTTATTCAGTATCATACATGAGGAAACCGTCCTGGTATTCTACTGAAAAATTTAGATCAAGTTTCAGAGTGAGACAAAGCAGTCTCCTGTCTCTGGATATTTTTTCTTACATTTAAAGAATTATATTTTTATAAGATTTATTGGAAGGTTTTGTTTCTAGAAAAGTGTTTCCAAAAAAGGATCAAGGCAGGCAGGCCAACCTTGTTCTCAGATTGCTACTTTAGAAGTTCTTAATCTTTTCCATACTGGGACTCCTTTTCCCATACTAGTTCCTCCCCTGTCCCCAGCTGCTCTCACATCCAGCTAAAGTCCAATTAGGAGCCACCTCCTGTTCAGAAACTAACACTGCAATCTGACCTCCACCCCTCCCCCCTGGATCATAACAGACGATAAGAATCGACTGGTGCCTCAGAAGGCAATATTTCCTTCTTCAGAAGCCAATAAGAAAACATTCCTCCTTTTCTGAAAGGAGAAAGACAAATGTCACGGCTAGTGCTACCTTTTATATCTGGAACTGAGCAGTACTAGAAGAAAGAGACAAAAGCTATACAATTTGGCATGATACCAAGGCACTGTAAAATTTACCCTAACAGGATGGGGAACAGGTAATGGTCTGGGATGGCTATTCTGGCTGCTCCAAGGGAGGTCCCTGCATGCAATCTTAAAAAGAGCTCACATGGAACAGCACAATGGGACACCAAGGGAGGTTTCCAGTTACAGTGCCAAAAATTACAGGCCAACATTATCTGCACTGCAGTTAGTATTTGTTCTTCAAATTGGAGAAATTAAACTACTTAGGTGCTCCTGTCCTCAGTCTCCCCATTGGTCACTATATTTTCCTACACATATGATCGCACAGACACACATGGGCGGCTTCTAAACTATATTAGATATATTATATAGTCCTATATTAGATAACTACCACAACAAAAACTGAAAGAGGATGGCAGAGTTCTGCATTTTCCCTGGCTCTAGTTATTAGCTGTACGGTGCAAATAGGAGTAACACTTGATGAAACAAATGACATCCATGGGCCAGTCAGTGATAAGCAATAGCCTGGATGAAAAAAAGCAGGGCAGCCCACATATACTATGCGATGGTATCATTTTCAGAAGTGCAGCCTAAGACCCATTTCCAAAAATGACTCGAGCATTTGAAATTTAGGAACCTAACTGACTTTTGAAAAAGGGAGGTGGAAAACCAAGTCACTTTTGAGGGCTTTTGAAACATTTTACCTTGTAAACTTTTCTTGGCAGACACGTTAGGCCAAGGCTTTTGAAAGCAATTTTGGATACCTTATTTGAGATGCTTTGAGGAGCCTGATTTTTCAGAAAGTGCTTAGGACCCCCTTCTAAAAATCTCTTTTCTTCTTATACACTGCTTTGAGCAGGTTCTTTCACAGCATGTGAGGAAGTGAGCTTCAGCCCATGACAGCTTCTGCTATAATCAACACACACTTTGGTTAGTCTATGGTGTAAATCTATCCTGCTCCCCCACCTCTGAAAAGTCAGACCCCGTTCAGGTTCTGAAGTAAGGCAGCAAAAATCACTTCAGCAAAATCTTAGCTCTGCCTTTTTACATATGCAAAACTCCAGGCACATTTCTGGTGCTATATAAACAACAATACATTAACAAATTATTAGGGCAAGACCAGGAGTCAAAAGAGGTCCATATGCCCAGTGGAGAAAAATATATAGATTTCTGAGCAAATACTGTATAGTGGCCTAAAGCAGCCATTCCTTGGTAAAACTAAAACAGAAGCCAGTCGTATTATGATCTGTATTATGATTTGTATGCACACATTTTCCATACAAAAATAAATAGATTTGCACACCAACATCTGCAGAACAGTCTGCTTCCCACACTGAGGCAGCACCTGCCTGGTTGCACTTTGCATCTGCAGAATTTCAATGACACTTAGAGAAACAATACAAAGGAAGCCTTTTTTTGGTGCAGAAGGGCAGACAACTGCAAAAGATTTGCCTTCAGCAGCACAGTATTTTAAGTAAATACACATGAAGAGCATAGGGGCTTCCCACTGCAGGATTTGTTGGTCTCTACAGCTAGCTCTTTATCGTCTGAAAGGGAGGCTGGACTCACTTGTCAACAGGCCCTCTTTTCACTGTACATTGCAAGAGAGAGAGTGCCTGTGGCCATAATCTGGACAGTTGCCAGTGGGATCAAATAAAGGCAAGAGAACAATAGGTGCATCCTTAGTTCATCTGTCTGACTAGACATTAGGCAGCTCTGCTCATTAGGAGGCAACATTTGTGATTCTACAGTACAAGCATGCCAGTGGGAAATGACATCATACCCGACTCAACCCTCATCAGCTTGCTTGGGCGTCTGCCTGTTTCAGCTGATTTCTTAGTCCCATACATAACAGCAACACACAGAATAAAATGATTTCTTCAAGGCATGCAACATGAGGTGGATAAGTTTATTTTGTACATAAAATACATCCAAAGCCCCTCCTATCCTCACTTGAATTTATTCTAATAGTGCTTTACAAGTTCTGCATATGCCCTCTTGTGGCAGCAACATGAAATTATGACTATTAGGTATGGCAGTGGGAACTATAGATTTTCCCCTTTTTGGCTTCATTCACTTTCATTCCCAATTTAAAGAAAACAGTAAGGCCTTGCGTTTTTACTGCTGTGGTGTACATTTGGAGTCAGTTTATAGCTAGTATTAAACAACTCTTATCTAAAGGACAAATACAGTTGTGCTGCTAAAACAGCAATTTAGCACAGAAACTATGTGGTATTTCACAAATCAATTTTGGCTTCAGAATATTTTTTTTCAAATGACACACTATGAAAATTACCTAGAGAGGGAGCAACCAGGACTAACAGTAATCCCCAAGACAACCCACTGGATTCACTGCACTGACAAATGATACTTAGACTGAATTTAAAATATATTAAAATAAAGGCTGAATAATATGAATAAGAGCTTTTTATTTAAGGGTACCCAGCTGATCTCAATACTATATGTTAAACATAAGCTTCCATTTTGCAATGCAATCATTTAACAAGACCTCAGACCTTGAAAAAAGAAGTTTCAAATGTTTACTTGAACAAGCTAGTAACATCTGCAGATCCGAAAACACAAAAATGCATCTCCCATCACCTTCTATCCAGATGATACTTCTAATTTCCTGTTACCTAGGTACATAACCACAGATGCGCTGCTTTAATTAGAAGGTGTGATATGACAGTTAAACTGCTGTATGTAGGCAATCTTATTTTAGTTTAAACTTGATTTATATCAGTTTAGCTTGCATTGATAAATTTACAGGGGAATCTGAGTGTAGACAAGCACATAATTATGGTTAAACCTAAAAGATCAAAAAGTACTATGAACATTCACAGTTTCAGAGATTTATTTGAAGTCACACTTATAAAGAGCAGGGCTGGTTAAAAAAATGCCATGAAATTCATATAAAGGATTTCAAGCTAAATGAAAGTTGTGCAGCATCTGGATTCTCCCCCAATGTTTTCTTCTTCCCTCACTTTTCCTCCTTATCCACTGGAAAAAGAAGAAATGTGGAAAAGAGAAAGGTCCCTAAATCTTCTCCAGGTTTTTGATTAAGATGTAAAATGTAACCAAAAAAAAAATATTACACAAAATCTTTAAAAAAAAAAAATGGTTTTCATCAAGAAAAACCAACCCAAAACAAAAACAAAAAATGTTTTGATGAAGAAAATACTTATCTGTACAAACTTCAGCAGCTGATTCACTTGGGGAGAATAGAAATATAGTCTTGTTAAGATGCGGGTCTGATGGAGACCTGGATCTTAAACCTGCTTCTCACCTGATATGAGGTAAATGATAAACTTCCCAGGCTACAATCTCTATCAGTAAAAGGTTGATGACACCTATACCTTGCAGTACCCAGAGGGGGAACTGTAAACATATATCTATGCATTCAAGTTCAGAAAGCATGACCAGATCCCCAGAAAAGGAGGGGTTTATATAGGTAATGTATTTTATTGCTATGGACATGGGTTCATCCAACTGTTTTCCACAGCTGAAGTTAACATTGGATTTGCAGCCACCACAGCCATGCTTATCCTGTAGGAAAGCTCTTAGCTGTATACCTGTACTTTCTGGTTCACACAGATGAACTCTGCATTGCTACCATCTTAGAATTATTCACTGTAAGCTTTAAGTGTCTGATTTAAAGCTCATTGACATCAACAAGGGTTTTCAGTGGTTTCATTGTGCTGTAGAGGAGGTCCTACATTTGATTTTGCCACAAGCACTCAACGTTGACCTAATTCTTCTATATGCCTGTGTCCAGAGATCAGAAGTTTTGGCTCTTTCCTTTTTTATTTTGGTCTCAGTGTAAAGTATGGTGCTATGCTACCTTAAATAGAAGAACAGCAGCAAAATCAACACAGCCCAGAGCTGTTGCTATACTGCACAGAGATAGGGAAAGCTGACATGGGTCATTCCAACCAGTGAGTTACAGAAGCTGCAGGGCAGGAGGCAGAGGCATGTCAAAAGCCACTGTGCAGTAGCATTCAGCATTAAATTGTTTGTATTAAATAGCTGCATCTACCTACCCTTTCTTTAAGTGAGCCACGTATGCACTCTGTAGAGCTGCTTCCAGGAAATAAGGGAGTTCAAAGTCAGAGAAAGTCATGCTGCTGCCTTTTATACCTCTTGAATGTGTGTTGTTCAAGGCCTGAGAAGAGAAGAGAGGGAAAAAAAAGTTGTGTTGAGTACAGAATAACTGTGCTAGCCTATTATCTGCTCACAAGTAAAAGAGAAAAGCTTTGAATCTCAGTAAATTCCAGATCTCTCTCATTTGATTTTCATATTGTCAGACAAATGTATCAGAAGTGGTTATTCAACAGCCACTCAAGGTCAATGAGAAACAAGTTGAGGCAATTTTTTAAAAGTGATTAACAGACATTTTGGAATGTTGATGCCCATCAACATTGCACCTACTCAGCTGAATGTAAAAGGAGAAAGTCAAGTAAATCCTGCAAAGCTGCAAAATTATTGTGCAAATCATGTACCCCCGGACCTTGAAAGAAAACAATTAATGCATAATAATAATAATAATAATAATAATAATTTTGTCCAGCTTGATATAACCAAAGTCTACAAAATGTTTAAAAGGCACAAGCCCAACTGAGTACAGTACTGGATCCTTCCCCACAACCTTCACTCAAAACTCCTCTTCACTTTGCCTTACCAGAAGCTGGCTTCTCTGGTGCAGACATCGAATATGATCTTTAGGGCAAGCAATCTACTCTTTCAGATTCCATGGGTTGCCTGAGGTGAGTGGGGTAGTCTTTTTTTTTTTGGATCCAAAGCAGCTCCTGC